TCCGAGGTCCCCCAAAGAATCTGAAGTTACAGCAGTTTCTGCCTTGTCACTAATCTGTGCTTCAGGAGACGTCCTTGGGTATGCTTCCCAGGACAAGCAGGCCTGCCCTTCTGAAAAGAGAACCTGGAAACCTCCCAAGGGACCCAGATCGCACAGCGAGGAAGCAAGGTGTGGGAGTTCTAGATTTGAGTTCAAAGCCAACTCAGGAGAGAGGCCTAGGCCCTCCTAGACTGGGCAGCAGTTTCCTACTAAAGGTAAAGTCCTCTGATGCCTTGTCTCCAGATGCTTTCCCATGTTTGCTCCCCTAGAATCAGCACGGAGTTCAGTCAACAGCCTGGAGACTCCAGTGGGCCAAGATAGTACCCACACACTTTCAAAAGGGGCGCTGGGAGTGTGGCGGCCAGGCAATTATGCCCCGTGCCCCCAAAATCAGACCATCTCAAATGTCTGCCTTCTGTCCTTGGTGGCCCCCACCCTGGTTCTGGCTTCTACATCCCCCTTAGCCTATAGTTCCAGGAGCAGAGTCAGGACAACACACACACACACACACACACACACACACACACCTTCCTGCCTTCACTAAGCCTGGTTTTTCCCTGAGAGTAATGGACTTGTATGGTCCTACTTCCCCCCTCAGCCACTCTGTGTAGCCCCAAGGTACACAAGGGTCAACACAGCTCATTTGAAGTCTCTCTCATGCCAAAGAGCTCCCTTCCATCTCTCAGAACTCCAGCTCTCTTGGCCTTCAGAGGGATCTGTGTAATGCATAGCCACATACTCTCTCCAGTCATCTTCAGCCCCTGCCTCAGTTCCTTTAGGATCATGTGAGGCAGTGTCATCCCTCAGGGCTGACCTCTTCAGATGAGAAGCCTGCTGCTCACTCACCTTCTGCACTGTTGTTTATTTTGTCTTTATTTTGTTTTCCCTTCTAGTCCCTCTGCCCTCTTCTGGCTCCACCTTCCATCTTTCCCCAGTGCTGACAGCTGCTGGTTTTGCTGTTGAGTGGCAGGAACAACTAAGGCTACCCCATCTTCCTGAATATCTCCTATCCTGTACAAAGGTGCCTATAACTGCCACCCAAGTGGCTTTCTCTTCCTCTGGACATGTGGAGCAGGCACTTTGCAGTGTTGGAAAACAATGATTTCCCTGGGGCTCTGTGACCCTTTCCCTCCTTCTTCCCCAAAGGATTCAGTCCAGCAATCTCCTCTGCTCATGGTTTCCAAGAGCTACTGACTCTCAGTCTAAAACATTCTATTCCTGATAAAGACACTGTATGGATACCCTGCATGTCTACCCTCCTCTCAAGCTTCTCCCAAGGAGTTGTTTTTTTAGTTCTCATGCTCAGCCCCTCATCTACCCTCACACAAGCCTCAACACTAGCAATCTCTACTTTGATAGGTTACTGCATCCTGGACATGCCCTCTTCTCAGCAAAGTGTTCACTCCAACTAGCAAGCGCTAGGCTTTGCTGCAGGATCAGGGGATGCATTAATAAAAAATAGAGGAGTCTGGACTCTGAAGGAGGCCACACAAACAAGCGGGTAGGAAAATATAGGAATAGAACCAGCTGCTGAGAAGCACATTGAAGAGAATAAACTGTGTGAAAGCAGAGGTCTGTTTTCTATGAAATGGTCATGGGAAGCTGTCATGATATCATACCATTTGATCTGTGTACCAGAATAACTAGACAGAGCCAACTGCATGAAAGGAAAAAGATGGGCACAAACTTGTCTAACTTTCAGGCCTAGCTTTTATGTCATTTCCTCCAGAAAGTCTTTACAACTCCCCATAGGGGCAGTGGTGGTGCATGCCTTTAGTCCCAGCACATAGGAGGCAGAGGCAGGAGGAACTCAGTGAGTTCAAGACCAGCCTGGCCTACAAAGTGAGTTACTGGACAGCCAGGACTGTTACACAGGAAAAAAAAAAAAACAAAAAACAAAAAAAACTTTAGGGCCTCAGAATACTTATCATGCCACTTATCACACTAACCTGCCACTGCCTAATTATGGGTCTGCCAGTCTCACCAGTGTGAACTACCAAAGCTGGATTTACTACTTGGTCTTTGTGATCCTTGCACCCAACATAGAAAAGCCTTTCCTGGCCAACATAACCTGCCTGCCTTATTTCTTTGGCCAGCATCCAAGACCAAGTAACACATTAGAGGCTTTTCTTTCTTTCTTTCTTTCTCTCTTTCCTATTTTATGTGTCTGAGTGTTTTCTCTGCATATGTGTCTATACATCAGTGGGGTACCTGGTACCCACAGAGGCCAGAAGAGTCAGATCCTCTGGAACTGGAGTTACGGATGGTTGCAAGCCACCATGGGAGTACTGGGAATTGAACCTGAGATCTCTGGAAGAACAGCCAGTGGTCTTAACCATTGAACCATCTCTCCAGCCCCTAAAGTTTGTATTTTCAAAGTTTTTGGTTGTCAGCAGTGTCCTGTTTCCATCTGTGTCACAGGCCCTAGACTGTACTCTGTCCACATCTTGCTGAGTACCTTCATTGTAAACCTCCTTGGGAACTACTCTGGGCACAATGGGATACAAATAATGAGATGGCTGAGTCATACCCTAATGATGAGTGATAATCCAACTGGAAAAGCAAGCTGAGCCAACTCCAAGTGTTGGAGGCCAAAGCAGATATTTGGAGCAAAGCGAGAGACTTGATAATCTAACACACTTGATGCAATTTCAGACACTGTGTATTTAGTGGATTTTCCATTTAATTCCTTTTGAGTTTAATTTTTATTTATTATTATTGTGTGTATGATATATATATATATATATATATATATATATATATATATCTGGAGGAAGTATACCACTGGGGACGAAGTGTCCATAGTCTAAGAGTTCATAATCTCACGCATCTTCTGGTTTGCTAATATTCCCATGCTCTCTATCTTCCCCTGCCCTTCTCCATTTCCTGCTTGCTGTGAAGGATGAGATCTCTCAGTTGCCTACTGTGTGTGGACATCCACATGCCGCATGTGAATGTCAGAGGACACTTTTGTGGATTGCTCCTCTTCTTCTACTGTGGGTTCTGAGAATAGATCTCAGGTTTGGGCACTAGTATAACAAAGCACTTTTACCAGCCGAGCCATCTCCCTGGTCCCTCCCTTCACATCTTGAAAGAGGTTGTTCCATTTATTCTCTTAAGTGATGGGTCTGCTGACTAACCCAATGCCTTTGAAACGACTCAGTAGAGCTAAAGCATTATCAACAGTTGATCAAGATTCAAAAGAAACCTACGTATTCCGCTTCTGTACAGACATTTGTGTCCTGATAAATTGTTAAGAGGTAGAAAATTACAGTGGAGCACTATGTATTTAAAATTATGCATCCGTAAACTGAGTGTGACAGCACATGCTTATGTGACGGTTTGATTGAGAAATATCTCCCATGAGTTTAGGCATTTGAATAGTTGGTCCTCATTTGGTGGCATTGTTTGGGAATATTTAGGAGCTGTGGCCTTGCTGGAAGAGTTGTGTCCTTGAGGACAGGCATTGCAGTTAAACATGTGATCTCTCAGCTCCCTGCTTCTGCTGCCATGTCTGCCACTACTGTTATGCTTCCCTGCCATGATGAACTTGATCCCTCTGCAGTCATAAGCCCAGTTAAACTTTTCCTTCTGTAAGTTGTGTTTATCATGATGTATTAGCACAGCAACAGAAAGGTACCTAAATCAGAAGTTCCTACCAGAGGAGAGGCCGGTGCTGTGAAGAACATGACCATGTTACTTTTTGGAGAAAGGTGGAAGACTTTGAAATACCAAGCCAGAAAGTGGTTGGATGTTATAAGCAGAGTTTAAAGGGCCTACTAGAACCCTGGAAGACAGTCATATAGAAAGCAATGTGAACTCTGGAGGCCCAAGCTCAATGAGTTTCAGAGAAAAACAATATTAGAAGCTGAGTTAGAAGCTATTCCTGTGCAATTGTGACAAAGAATCTGGCAGTCTTCTGCCAATGTCTTGAGAACTTGCCTGAGAGTAAGTTAAACAGCAATGAACTATTTGTTGGAGGAAATTTCAAGGCTATATAATGTTGAGTCTATGGTGTGTGTGTGTGTTTTTTTTAATTGACAATGCTTATGCAGGTTTGCAATGAAAAAGGGCAATAGGGCAGAAAGAAATACATATGTACAATTTGGAGAGAAAAAGAGCACTGGAAATCTTAATATTACAGCCAAGATACATGCTGGAAGAGGCTGTGATTACTGAAGAAATTAGTATCATTAAGGAGGGGTCTGTTCTCCACCAAAACAAATGGGAGGGTACCTTCAGGCCAAGATACCAACCTGCTAAACTTCAAAGTTCTTAAAGTCTGGGGTGTTTTCTACTTCTAGAAAACAGCTTAAAAAAAAAAAAAAACAAAAAACCTGCTGCTAATGTGATCCAAGTGGGCCAGAGTTCACCCCATGCTGGCAACTGAACTTGGCAATGTCAACCACATGGTGCTGGCTTTAGAAACATGAGGGGCATGATAGTGACGGGGTTGTGGATTCTTCCGCTGTGGTTTTCCACACTGCTGAGGCTAGGCAATGTGTGGTAGGGTCCCTGCATGACGGCTCTGAGAGAACAGGATGGGCAGAGCCATCTAAACCCTTATACAGGGACATGGAGTTGCATGATTTAGAGTTTCCCATGTTTGGTTTTGGTCTTGCTCTGGTCTAGTATTACCTCACTATGCCCTGATTCTTCCCTTTTGGGATAGTAATATATAGTTTTGCCACTGTATGTTGGAGGTATGTAATTTGCCTTTTGATTTTACAGGAGGTTACAATTAAGAGATTATCCTGGGCCTCAGAAAAGACATTGCACTTTTAAGTAGGGTTTAAAAAAAAATGTTAAAGACTATGAGTACTTCCCTAGTCCCAGCACTTGGGAGGCAGAGGCAGGAGGATCTGTGAGTTCAAGGCCAGCCTGATCTACAGAGTGAGTTCCAGGGCAGTCTCCAAAGCTACACAGAGAAACCCTTTCTTGAAAACAAACAAACAAACAAAGACTATGAGGACTTTGTAGCTGGACTAAATGCATATGTAACCATGAACCTATGGGGCCAGGCAATAGAATGTGGTGGTTTGAATGACAAATGTCCCCCATAGGCTCAGGCATTTGGATAACTGGTTTCCAGTTGGTGGTACTGTATGGATAGATTTAGGAGGTATGGCCTTGGAGAAAGCATATCACTGGGGACATATGAGAGTATGTAGCCTTACCTCACTTCCAGTTCACTCTCTCTGCTTCCTGATCATGT